TTATCCAGTTTTACAATTATACAACAGCCTAATAAAGAGGTTTTGGACTCACTAACTAATGTCACTTATATTCCAAGAATTTTTCTCCCCAGTTTGACCCGGGAAGCATATTAATGAAAAAACATTGACTTTCTACATACAGAGTATATCTTTGGATGAGTAATGTTAAATAAAGTGAATAGTGCACATGAAAAGTGATAAACTCATAGCTAATCATTAGAAGTGTAAGGAAAAATTTTGACATTTAAAAGACAAACTTTTTTGTCATAAAAGAAAATGGTAAGAAATTTATGAACGGAACAAAAATGAAAATGAAAAAGAAACTTTTTGGACGGAGGGAGTCTAATACTATTTGAAGGCCTGTGGGGGTACCGGGACCAATGGGACTCGTGTGTTCAAATAAAAATGATCACTATTTGTAGGTGGTGAGCCTCTGGTTAAGGCTAATATTTCAAGTGTGTTCAAATAAAAATGATCAGAAACGATGGTGCTACACAGAGTGGGGGGGGGGATTTCAGAACCTGCTGTGAATCAATCTCCTGTATCTCAGCCGTTGACGACCAACACCAACAGCACCGGAGGTCACTAAAATAACTTCATAGCCTTGAGAATTGAGATCTTGAATCTGCACACAGTTGGAATAGAGCTAATCCATGAGAATCAACCATCCAACATTAATAATTTGGCGTAATATAGGCAAAAAGAACATCAGGTTAAAGAAATTGCCTGTTCACATAGTGCTCCTAACCTTCCAAGAGCTAGCCTTCCATCAGCTCTAGTGACAACAGCAGTCCCAACCTTCACAATAAATGACTATTTTACACCAGAGCTCGTAGATATATCTATTGGCTTCCAGATCAAATAAATGAAATTACAAACAAGAACTAGTTTGGGATGGGCAAACTGGTAAATGGAAATTGCCATAATAATACTCTCTTGTAGTCTTGTCCATTCAATCTTTTTTCCCAGACAATCCAGCAAAAGTGTATCTAAAATTGCACTATGATTTGTTTCCATATTTGTTAAATTTAAACGCATTGACAAATTGAGCCAAAACAGTAATTTTTAAAATAAAAACATGCAACAAATACGAGGCGTGCATGAAAAGTGTTCATAAACAGCAAAATGATGTGGTGTCGAGCGAGGTTCCAATTACAGTTTCCAGATGCAATCGTATTCGCGAAGAACAAACAGATGAAAATTTTTAAAAAAAACGCAATAAATATGAAGAAATTGCAACCTTGACGACGATGCGCTTGACATCCTTGACGAATGCTCGGGATGAGTCCACAGTGTCCATTGCAGAATAATGGCAGCTGCGAGCCGGCGGAGAGTGGAGAGATGCGGAGACTCGCAGAGGAGGAGGAGTAGGGTTTTATAGGGAGGGGGAGGAGTGTTGGCGATCTACGATAGGGGAGAGAAAAAGGAGTCCGCCATTTTCGACTGAGGACAAAACAGAGCTATGACGTGGATCAACACCTGTGAATTTTAGAACCGTAAGGATTCTAGGCACCTTTCACCACTTCCTCCATATGGTAACATTTCTTTTTCAAGATAAGAAATAGTCATTTTTCCATCTATCTCCCATGGAGCTAAAAATCATTATTTTTGAGTTTTGGGTGCGACGGAACAAAGCAAAATAGATCTGTAAATCGTATGTGATTCTTTAATTAATGAGTTGCAATTACTTAATTGATGCAACTTTTGATGCTAAGTCGGAGATTTCTTTAAAACAATCTCTCTACTTTCAAGTAGGGGTAAAGTCTGTGTACGCACACCCACCCCAAACCCCATACTCTTGTGGATTTAATTGGATTGTTGTTGAAGTGTCATGCGAGTTAATTTAATCTTTGTTGGGCCGATTCAAAAGAGTTAGGTCATGTACTTCTCAACTTATTTTTTTTACTTATAATTTATTTGTATTGGAATCAGATTATATCAGAATATAAACAACTTTAAATATAACTACATTCAGATCAGATCACAACAAATTAATTCAAAAAAGTAATGTGTTAAAAAAATCATTTGAATTTTAATTTTTGATTTTTCCTTGAAGATTTTTTTTTTGGAAAAACGTGTGCGTTTTTCTAAAGTTTCGCGTGACTAGACGCGAATTTAGAAAAAGAAGCGACTACATCTCAATTTTGCCTTCAGCGTCTATAAGAATCCGGAAAAGCTCTTGGTCGAGCGTAGCGTTCAAAAATTCATAATCAACTTATCATTGTAATTTCTTGATTTCCTTAAAATTGATTTCATTGTGTTTTTTTTAAGTAAACATGGTATCCTCATTACTAATTTGCACTTTTTTTTAAGATTACGAAAAAAATTCAAAAAATAATAGAGTGTGGCTCACAAAAATATAAGTATAGATGTTGTTTCAAACAAAAATAGTTTAACATATGAAAAAATAAAAAGAAATAATTAAAATAAATAAAATATAAATTGTTTTAATAGGAGTAAAACATAATGATTCTCCAAAATATATAATGTAAAACTCTAAATCGATATTCTACAGTATTTTTTTGGTATTGTATGTTGACATTATTGACATTTAAACTCTTATTCATGAAATAAAAACTTAAAAATTCTATTCTAGTTTTTTCTCAATGTTTTTACTTATATTTTGGCCTTTCTCATTTCTTCTATGTTTCTAACATTTTTTATTTTTCCTAATATTTTTCAACTCACCCAATTTCTTCTAATTACTTTTAATTTTTTCCAAATTATTCGAATTTATTCTAAATTCTCCCCATGTTTTTCAATTCCTTCTCATTTTTTCTAATAGTCCCAATTGAAAAGAAGATTTAGAAATCACCCTAAATAGGACTAAAACATAGAGAAAAGTACCAAAATAGGACTTTCATGTTTTTTATCCCGAAATAGAACTTTGCATTGTGTTAATGTGACTTTGCCATGTTGTAATATGGCAGTGTACATGTGCAAATTACTATATTTTTTTGGTAATGTATATGACCATGTATGGTAATGTAAGTCCTATTTCGAGAATAAAAACATGAAAGTCTTATTTTGATATATTTTTAATGTTTTAGTCCTACGTTGATCGTTCTCCCAAAAAAATTCCCTAACCTCAAGTTCCTTCCGTCGTAAAATCTACTCGTAGACGAAACTAGGGTCAAGACTCAAAAGAAAAAAATTACATGATAAAAAAATGCATAAAAAAATTTACTAAACTAATAATGATATGAATATAATATTTTATCAAATGACCATATTGAAAATAGAAAAAAATATTGAAAGAAATTTGAGCGAGTACTCAATGAGGGTTACATGTGCCTGTCGAACAAAAGAAGGTAGGCATTACTTAGCATTTTAGACTCTTGATAGACTCATAGGTGGTGGTGGCGCACTGCCGGTAGAACCAAAAAAGAGTTCAACAGAGTTTTTTTTATTTTCTTTTTTTAAATCAAAATTAATAAATAAATTTTAATTATTAATTAAAAATTATTTATATTAGACTATCTCCGAGAGTCCCTGCCGAACGGTCGCTGAGAGAAAGTATATTGAACTTTGACTGCAGATTGATGGTAAAAAGTGGAGCATGCACCTGTTATTTGTAGAGACCTTATGCTTAGTATAGTTGCCTCCCAGTGCGGATGCCAAGAATCGAACTCGAGCTTTACTCACTTGACACTCCTTAATTAGATAAAAATATGTAATACTCCCTCCGTCCTATAATGATCTTCTCATAGCACTATTCCAACTTCACGGAAATTTATATTTATTTGTGTTTTTTCATGGCCTATATGATAAAATAAAATATTCTTGTCACCACTTGTTTTGTTGAACTTTTGGTATAGTTTTTAAATATGTATGTTTTATTTTTTATTTCTATACCAATATTTAAATAAAATAGATTGAAAAAACTTGGGATTTTTCTTCGTTTTGCGAATCGGGAAGATCATTATAGGACGGAGGGAGTATGATTTTTATTTAATTATAGATCAAAGATTGATCAAGATTGACTACAAAAAATTAAAATTGAACAAAAAAATTTGGGATGAATGGAGTATTATTTTGAGAATGTTAGGCTTTGTGGCGTTTTTAAAAAATGTAACTACAATTTTCGGTGGTATTTGTTTTACTATATTTATTTCCATCATCTTTGATGAAGTCAAAATTTCACCATTTTTAGCTTTGGGGTGTGATGGAATAAATCAAAATGGATCTCTAAACTATCTGCGCTTCTTTTATTAATGAAGTAGCAGTTAGTCAAACACTGCAACTTTCGATGTTGAGCCGGGGGTCTCTTTGGAAACAGCCTCTCTACTTTCGAGTAGGGGCAAGGTCTGCGTACACACACCCTCCCCAGACCCTACTCTTGTGGGATTTAATTGGGTTTGTTTTACTATATTTGACATATCAGTTTCTACTTTCTCCACTAACATTTTACACATAGAATACTATTTTGAAGATGCATATATAAGGTACATTTGTTTTCTGCTTTTGTAAAAATCACGTATCCACAAGTTAGTTAATCACAATCTTTATCAGTTTAAAATGTACTCTTTCTAATTTCTACGCAAATTAGGGTCTGTTTGGGTTGGCTGGGAAGAATAAGATGAAGCCTGAGATAATGATTTTAAATTAGGGTTGTGCTAGTATAAATTAACTACGCTCGCCGTGGTACGAGGACTTTAAAAATAAATTTTGAAAACATATGAGATATTGATACCTATTTTCCAAACCACGGGAGACACTGAGGGTCTGTTTGGTATACGGAATTGGAATTGAATTGGAATTGGGATTCCATCTGATTCAATTTCATAGAATTGAATTTACCAATTTCAATTCATTTTTCGCACTATCAATTCCAAATCCACATAATATTCGTGCTACCAAACATCAGAATTAAAATTGAAGTCCTTAATTTCAATTCCATAATTTGAATTCTTTGTACCAAACAAGGCCTGAAGCTATTTAGCCTTCAATCATTTACTAGAATGTAGAATCATTTGAATATTGTCTTAATCAAATCCTATGCACAAAAACAAAATTGCCCCCAGTCAGCCGAAACATCTCCGGCAGCCCAGCCCATTAAGCCCACTTTGATAGTCTTCGTTTCCCCTTTTTCGTTTCCCCTCGTTCGATTTCCACTCTGCCCCGCGACCCAACGAGCCAGGCAGCCAGGACCGCCCTACGGTCGACGAACAGAGGTGGCCGTTCCTCTGGCGGCTCTGCAGACCGCTTCTCCGTCCCAGGAGTCTCTCCACTCAGCGAGACGAATCCATTAGGGTAAATCTAAAATCTTCATTTTCTTGTTCTTAATAGGCTTCTTAATGGTCCTAAACTTAGGTTAAGTGAGTATATATTAGATATTTGGTGACTATAACTAACATAGTACGTGAGCAGATTTTTTTTGTATCCATCCGCCGAGTGGATGCATCCAAATATCCAATATTGGGTTGTGTTTTATTTTTGCCTAATAATTGTTATGTGAAATGATATCAATATGAATTGTGGAGTGAAATTGTTGAGGGAAGTTGTTAATTTCATAGTTTAAATTTTCCTAGAAATGACATTAATAAGAATTGTGAAATGAAATTGTTAAATGTGAAAAAATTTGACAAAATTGAAACATTTTAAAATTGCAAGAATAGAATTTGTAGGTGAAACATTTAAACTTAAACTAAGTTACGATAAATAATATTTTTATATTTAAGGACTTTTTCATTTTAATTACTCTGCATTTGAATGCTTGTTTCATTTGAGTTGAAGTATGTGATTTTTTTTGTTATTTTACATTGCCTTAAAAAGTCCTGAGACTACTACCCCCGGGCCCCACACTCTTCTTGTTCATATTCACTCGAGTTACCCCCGGGCGCTCTTTCCTTGGATCTGTTAGAAAAATGATAGGAAGAACGGATCAAATGCAGAATAGAATTGTGATTTTTTTATTGTGAACTTCATTCAGGAATTCTATGCTCCTGAAATTCTAGACAGCAACCAACACAACTATTGGTACTAATCAACACATCTATTACTAACTAATACAACTTCCAGAAATAACTACCCATAACTCTCCACAGTTTCTCAACTTCCTTCCTATCAGTCACAGAAGGAATGAGTAGAAAAAGTACAATTGGAATTTGGTCTGAAATCGACAAATCGTGTAAACTACACAATAATCAATCTTACACTGCAGAGCAGCTGATTGCAAAATGGATCCTGAGCTAACGATTTTTTTCCAGACACAATGGCGACTTCACAATTCCATACACTATAAGGAAAATAATGTTTAAGTGGTCTGCTGTCCAAATAGGAAGTCTCGTTAGATCAAGGTCCAAATTCCAATCAACTACCGTGCAATTCCAACTGGTTGAGGAGGTTACATGATTTCATCCCTAGTACTTCTGCTTATTCTTTCCGCGACAAATAAGAAGGGAGTTGAGAAACTGTAAAGAAGCTTTTAAGATGCGAAGATCATCTTCATTGTCTCCCTTAATGTAAGGGCTGTTGTCGTCTCGGTAGTCTTGTCTCTTATGGTTGTGTAGTTATAGTTGTGAAGTTTATTAATTATAGCTGGGACGCCTTCAAATGTAGGATACGAGAAAGTTGAGTAATCAAAGTTACACTACAAATACTTTTCATTTACTTCAAATCTATCCAAGCAATTTTTATGAAACATTACCTCCTAAACCTAACTCTAACTAAAGGTCTGTTCTCTTTGTCTGAAGAGAACAAGCTATAACTCCCTCTAGTTAACTTCATGTTTCTTAACTAGTTGATTTTACCTTTATCTACCTTCTCCCAAGTGTAACCTTAGGGTGGGAGGTGTATGTGATTGGGAGGTGGGTTTTCGTTGAACATTATTTTCTTGGTTTGCTTAGATATGCTTATTGTTGATTACCGTTCTTTCACTATGTTACTGGGTTCTTGTGTTATTAACTTTTGAAAGAAAAGTTGTTGTCTTGTTTTAATCCGATATTTATTTAAAGAATGGTGCATATTTCTTATGTCAGTAAAGGTATACACTTGTCTCATTTGCTTTGGCATTTGTTAACATTATAACTGGCAGCTTAATCTATATGTGCCATTTAGATTGATGTGATTGTGCTTGCTTCAATACCAATTACTAAGGGTCACCCCACGCCCAATCCCTCCCCACAAACTTATGGAGAAGCATTTGTTACTGTTTATCTCTGGTTACATAAGAATTTAAAAAGAATTAAATTCAAAACCCAAATGATCAAAAGTTTAATATTTTTGATAAATTCCCCTTGAGCTTTTGGTGTCTTTGTTTTCTCTTTCACACCCTCTATTGTTTACTTCCTTGAATATTAGTTCTTCATAAGATGCTGTTTTCTTATCTACATATTTATCAGCCACATCCATATGACTAATTGGTTACTTTTGATGAAATAATTTAACCAAACCTGTTTTTATTTTCCATTGCCCAGGGTATGGATGTGGATGAGAAAAATTCTGTGTCAACTATGGAGATATCTTCTGTTGTCGCTGATAATCAAAATGTAGCTTCTTCGGTTGATGCAATTTCCCTCCAACCACTTCAATCACACGTCCCACCTGTGATATTACCTCCTACCATTGTTCCACCTCTGGCACCGCTCCCTGTTCGACCACCAGCACTTAAGCCTCATGTGGTGGCACAAAATGCACAAGCTAGCGATTCAGATTCTGACCATGGTGAACCGGGATCAGGTGCAGCAGTAGATGAATCTTCTCCAGAATATGAGATTTCTGAAGAAAGCAGACTGGTGAGAGAGAGACAAGAAAAAGCCATGCAGGAGCTTCTGTTGAAGCGAAGAGCTGCTGCCCTGGCGGTCCCCACAAATGACATGGCTGTTCGAGCTCGACTTCGTCGGCTTGGTGAACCCATAACATTTTTTGGGGAAAGGGAAATGGAGAGACGAGACAGGCTGAGAGCACTTATGGCCAGACTTGATGCAGAAGGGCATCTGGAAAGGCTGATGAAAGCTCACGAGGATGAAGAGGCTTCATCTTCTGCTGCACCCACTGAGGATGATGAGGAGATTCAATATCCATTTTATACTGAAGGATCAAAAGCACTTTTTGAGGCCCGAGTAGAAATTGCAAAGTTCTCTATTGTGAAGGCAGTCTCACGTCTTGATCGTGCCAGGAGAAGAAGGGATGATCCTGATGAGGATTTGGATGCTGAAATGGATTCGGCTTTAAACCAGGCAGGAACTCTAGGCCTTGATTGCAGTGAGATTGGAGATGACCGCCCCCTCTCTGGCTGCTCACTATCGCATGATGGTGAGATGCTTGCCACCTGGTAATCTCTTTTCTGTATGATTATATATTTTCGCATGCCTGCACACACACACACACACGCCTTTTAGGTTTCGCAGCAACAGGAGGATTCTGTATGCTACAATAATGGTGGGTTTTACTTTTCTGGTTTACTCTGCATGCAATTTTTTCGGTCATAGGATAATTTATTTGAAGGAGATCCTAGGCGCAACGGTTGTTGCCGTGTTACTGTGTGGGCACGGGTTCGAGTTCTGGAAGCAGCCTATTGCATAAACACAGGGTAAGGTTTGCTTACAAGACACCATTGTGGTGGGACCCTTCCCCTGACCCCCACTCGCGGGGCTGTTTTGTGCACCAGGCTGCTCTTTTTTTATCTCTTTTTCTTTTACTCATTGAGCATGTGGCTATTAGTTGGTTAACTTATTATACAGCCTATTTAGTCTTTCAAATGCTATGATATATCACAGTCTAACATGTATTTGGTTGTTTTACTTCAGTTTCTCCATTTCACATGATTGCTACTACTTTATCTTCTTAGTTTTTAAAACTCGGTGCTTTATTATAACTTAATTATTTATTGCGTAATTTAAAGTTATTAGTGTAGGTTCTAGAAACTAAAACACACTTTAAAATGTCACCAGTACCCAAAAATGTATCCCGTTGTCGTGCCAGAAATTCTCATATGCTCCAGTCCATCTGACATGTGTATATTTTAAAAGTTCCCCATCAGCTTGTTGATTTAAAAAAAATGTTCCCGTATGTATAGTTCTCAGAGTGGAGTTGCAAAGTTATGGAGCATGCCTCAAGTAAGGAAGGTTTCTAGCCTTAAGGGACACACTGAGCGAGCTACTGATGTTGCATTCTCTCCAAAATGCCATCATCTAGCAACCGCCTCTGCTGACCGAACTGCAAGGTTGTGGAATAAAGAAGGGTCCCTTTTGAGGACTTTTGAGGGCCATTTGGACCGTCTAGCCCGCATCGCCTTCCATCCAAGTGGAAAATACTTGGGCACAACTAGCTTTGACAAGACTTGGCGGTTATGGGATGTCGAAACAGGTGAAGAGTTGCTTCTTCAGGAAGGGCACAGTAGGGGTGTGTACGGATTATCTTTTCACCATGATGGCTCCTTAGCTGCATCTTGTGGACTAGACTCCCTTGCTCGTGTTTGGGATCTAAGGTCTGGAAGAAGTATTCTTGCTTTTCAAGGCCATGTTAAACCTGTAAGTTTTACTTCCTGTGTTTGGATCAATAACATGTTTGGGAACGGAAAGAAAATGATAATGAAATTTGATTTCTTATGGAGGAAACACACAAATCTCGCTTGCGTGTGAGGAGGCGTGTTAGAGTATAAAATCTTTTCCTAGCCTATAACTACAAACTAGAAACTTTTGGTTGATTTGGTTCTCAAAACAAAACAAAAAAAGAGTTTCTATTAGTTATAAATAACCATCTCATTCGATGTTGGTTTCAGATTCTTGGTATCAGTTTTTCGCCCAATGGGTACCATCTAGCTACTGGTGGTGAAGACAATACGTGCAGAATCTGGGATCTGAGAAAGAGAAGATCAGTCTACACAATACCTGCTCACTCAAAACTCATCTCTCAAGTTAAATTCGAACCTCAAGAAGGTTACTTTTTGGTGACTGCTTCGTTTGATATGACTGCAAAGGTATGTCAACTGTGTGCAAATTTGGCATGTGACTCTTGCTATTTTCTTTAAAAAAATCTTCTCATAGTTCTTTGACCACTTCAAAAAATCCGAATGTGGCTTAAGGTGTGGTCGTCAAGAGATTTTAGGCCTGTCAAGACTCTATCTGGACACGAAGACAAAGTCACCTCATTGGATGTTATGGCAGGTTAGATGTCTTTGATGTTTTGAGCAAAATGTATATATTCATCAGGTTTTAAGAGTTCGTTTGGTAAGGCCTAAAATTGCATAAAGTTTTGTAATTTCTTTTCTGTGGTTTGGTGTAGATGGACAATTCATTGCTACAGTTTCACACGATCGGACGATCAAGCTATGGTCTAGCAAAAGCAATGACCAGGAAAAGGCAATGGATCTGGACTGACTACTAGAAGATTTTGCAGTGTTAAGATGAGAAGTGAGTTTGTAGATTTTCTCAAGGATTGCAAATGTTAAAGTGTTTTTGGATTTTGGTAAACTTTTGGTTTTGTAGTGTGATTTTAGTGCAAGCGGTTGTGAGTGACCATAGCCACGCCTTGTGAGATTAAGAAAAGGAAATTGTGTGGATATTCACATTATGTAATGGGTTTGTATGTGGTGTACCAAAGGGTGATAACCTTTATAATTAATGTTTTTAACATGTAGATTAAGGGCATGTTGTCCCAAATAAAATTTCATCCTTTTAAAATGATTTTATGTATTAATTGGTATAAAAAGAAAAATATAGAAATTAAAAATATTAACAAAATATGATGTGATAAAGTATTTTATTTTATCTAATGATTAATGAAACACACAAGTAAATAAAAGTTATCAGAAGGCTCAAATAACAAAAGTGTAAATCATTTTTGTTGAGGATTACAATGTTTGCTTGAATTTTTTTTCAATTTAGCTTATATATGAATATTGAAATTAAAATATTTTATATTTTTAGAATTACATGCTAAATTTTGCAAAACAATAGGTGACACTATAATTTTATCAAATAAACAATAAAAATAAACATAAAGAGTACGGAGTAGTCAAAATTTGTAGTAATGAAAGTGTGTTATATTTAAAAGGTTAAATTGAAATGATTTAGTAGGTTGATTTGTATTTTTTGAACACTAATAATTCTATAATGGTGTAATATCTAGTACATATTCCACATCTATTTTTATTAAGCACATAGAAATACAAGGATTAGTATTTAGTTCATATTTATGTATAATTTTCTTTTCAAGTTTTTGTTTTTTAAAATGAGATTTTTAATTTCAAGAATGATTGCATTAGAATGACTACGATTATTTCAAAAATATATAATCCTTTTAAGTTTCGAGTAAAGAACAAACATTCCAAACATTCTTGTAAAAATTAATTATAATATGAATTTAGATTTGAAGTTGAAAAAAATATCATCTTAACTTAAATTCAGATTCAGTTTTAACTTTCGCAAGTGAATGATAGACTTGATACCTCTCAATATATTTTCTTTTAAATGGACGTGAGTGAAAAATTATTAATTTTGAGTTAAATTCAATCCATTGACAGATTAAATTGCTACGAGTATTAAATTTGACCCAAACCTGAGTTAACAAGTAGTCTATAGTTGCGGGAGGAATTGTTAAATTCGTCTCCATATAAATTTGTTAATAGTTGTTTAAAATATTTAATCTTTATTAAGATATTACGAGAATTAATTTATTTTGAGCATTGACATTTGACAAACGTAAAAAACTTAAATCAATGCAATTATTTGGGGACATAACAAGAACTTGTTTAAAATTTAATTACGAGATTTGAGAATTCACAAATGGACAACTGATTTAACCAACAAATCAATATCTGAACCGATTCGATTTTGATCAATATGTTAATTTGTTGGACACGTTTTTATTATGTGGCCTGAGTTATCATTTATCTAATTAATTGATCATTGACCTAATAAATAACCTACGTGTTTATTTGGTAATTATTCGATGGACGTAATTACCCTTATGACCTAATTAGGGTTTCCCCTTGGGTGTATATAAATAGAGGTATTAGGCAGAGATCGACAGACCAATCTTACGCCTCCTCTCTGCCTCTCTATTCTCGTGAGTCTCATCCTCACCTTAGCCATCATAACGATACACCCTAAACGGGAACTCAATCTGCGTGAGAATCATGGCCTCATCCCTAACTGCGTTTACAGGATTATCAGGTACACATGATTAAATCCCTAATTTATATTTTATATTTGAGAATTGATCAACATGTGGTATCAGAGCAATTATGTTGGTTAATCAATTCGCTTTCTCTAAAAAAAATACTAGAATCTTTGTCGGAAAAAAAAAGGGGATTATAAACCTTGTTTTAAGCTTTTGAGTTTGCTCATTAAATCAATTCCTTAAAGTATGATGGAGTACGCTATTAATATCATAGCAAGAATAAGTTTTCTTTATCTGATTTGTTCTGATCTCCCAAAACAAACTTACAATTTGTTCTTGAAATCTCCGCATACTGGTTTTTTCTCTCATAAATAATCGAGAACAATGTTTTCTGAAATTAAATCTTAAATATCCCTGTTTCCAATTAAATTTCATTGAGTATAATTCTGATAAATTATTCACAGTGTTCATCCTTATTTTGATGAAATCTTCTAATTTTGGTATTTGATTTCCTTAAATTGTATGACATATCTCACTTTTGCATAATATATTCTGTTTCCTTATTTATTAATTTATTTTACTCAGAATAGCAAAACTAAATAAGGGATATGCTAAAATACCATTAAAAAGTTATCTTTTACTTGTTGGAAAATCTCTTGCCTTATATGCTTTTTGATTTTCTAATTAAACTAATCTTAATGGGTCCCCAATTTTTGTAGCCCCGCCCTGAACCGCTATAACTTTTGCGGTTAATTAATTATTAATATTAAACTTATAAATCATTTGACTAATCTTAAATAAAATTTATTTTATGATTAGTTAAATTGATTTATTTTGCTTGACTTGAATAATACCTTAGAATACACTTCTGCCTAAAGGTGATGTGTAACATTTGTGAAATTTATTTCAAGTCTTATTAAGCATTGTCATTTAGTGCATATCCTTAAATAGATATTTGCATGACACTCGCCTTAAATACATAATATTTCACTTCTGTCTAAAGATGATGTGTTATAATTATGTACTGCGAACTAAATATATATGTGCATTAAAATTTAAATGTTTCACTTCTTCCCAAAGGTGATGTGATACATTCAAATTGCACATCATTATTTTATTATTCATAATACTTAAATAAGTGGTCATAACCAAAGTGAAAGCCATTTGTTTAAGTAGAATTAAATTTAGTCTATTATTTTGGTGTTATAATAGACTCTTATCACAGCTTCATTACTATATAATGGTCCTTATCTTCGCCAGCCTTAGTTAATTACCCCTTAAGTTCT